TAGGTCAGGGCTTGAGAATCTGCATTTTTAAAGTTTATTTCTTCCAAGAGAGTGACAGAGACACAGGCACCCCACCCCCAGTCTTCCCCCTACATTCTGCTCCGCCTGGTCCCAGCCAGGCTGGATCATAGGCAGAGGATGCATGCCCAGAATGTTCAGGGAGGTACCTTCACCACATGGTCTAGTTGCATTTCTGCTGTGTCACCACCTGGCTTCCATTCTGTATTTCTGACCAGCTCCCGGGGGATGACAATGCTGGGAGTCTGTCGCCTATACTTTCAATAGCAAACCTTTAAACATCTTATAAACACTTACCCTACGTCTTTTTATTTTTTGGCTTAATGTAAGCTGAGACTCTGTCATTTTCAAATAAATAATTCTCAGTTAAGACATAATATCCTCTCAGTCCTTGGTACATGTAGTAGGCAATTAATAAATATTCATTTAATTGAATTAAGGATATGAATTTTCCTGAGTTTAAGTACTGCAAGTATAGAATTTGTCATATTATCTGGCTTGGATATATACAGTTTTACCTTTATTCAGATAATTGTTGACTAATAATTTAAAATATGTTTATGATATTCTTCAGTATGTAATGTTTGATTTTCTCTTTAGCCAAAGAGTTTGGAATTTAAAAGTTTTCAAATAGTTGGGGAATATTTGTGCATGAGCATTTTTATTTATCTTTTTTAATTTCTAGATTTATTGCTTCATAGTCAGAAATTATAGATATTTCTGTGTTTTAAATGTTTTTTCTGTTTTTCTTCTTGGAAATTTTTGAGACATTATTGAGTTGTCAGAAAACTCATGACTTTTGACAAGTTAATAACATTTCTGTCATATTACAACCAGAGATTCACTGAGAAATTGTTTTGTCTCTTTAGTGTAACTCTTCATTGGCTATTTAAATATACCATATGCCTTTTCATTTTTCATTTTTTTTATTGTTGTTATTATTTAATTTGACCAGAGAGAGAGAGAAAGAGAGAGAAAGGGAAAATGAGAAAGCGAGCCGTAGTGAGCTGCCAGGTCCAGGACTTGAAACATGGCCTGTCATATGGGAGTCCAGCACCCTATCCAACATGCCACCTGCTGGCCCCCCTGTACCTCTTCTGTACTTGAACTCTACAGGGAGTGCTTATTTCAAAATCAAGATTTCAAAATTTCTGAAGGGAAGACCTTGCAACACAGCAATATGGCAAACACTATCAAGCCCTGCTATTGGGGTTAAATCAGTGTGTGTATAATGCTTAGCACTGTGCCTGGATGTACTAATCCCACGGTAAGAGCTCCAGATGGCATTATTTCCGTCTTGCTGGTACCTTCCATTTTGCTGCTAGTAGCATTTCACATTGACAGAGATAGGGTAGTTTTCAATCACCCCAACTTCATGCTAATCAAGAAAATGAGGGAAAAGATAAGGAACCAAGGGAAAAGAAGCAAACACCTTCCAGAAAGCAGAGAGGAGAACATAAGAAATTGCCTAGTGTGTAAGTAGTAGGCAATTAATTGTAACGACGTTCTTCCAAAAACAAAAACATAGAGACAAGTTAACTTGTTATGGACATGTGTTACAGGATTCTCTGAGAGAATATGCAGAGCGATGTACCCAAAGCTGAATCCTAATAACGAAATACATGGATTTTGTACTTCTCTGAAATAGAGAGGACTTATTGCTCTCCACCATTAGGTTGCATCCTTCAGGGCATGGAGTAGGCTTTTCATTTCTGGCTCCAATGCTGTGCACAGGTGCCTGACGAAGGGCTACGAAGCACATAGATCTCATGGGAATAAGGAATCCAAGTTTTAGAGTGCAGCATACCTCTGCCAAATTGCAATTCAGTCGCTGAGGAAATGAAGTAACCTGCTAGGCCGCTTCTGTGTCCTGATGATTAGGGCAGCAGGATCCCACAGCTCCGCCATGAAGATCCAGTTCCAGGTGGCTAGGGGAACACACTGGGTGCATGTGCATGTCAAAAGTCCCCAAAGGCGGGAGAGACAGAGAATGGATTGTCCCCGATGGTGGGGGAGGAGGCTTTCTCCTCTCATTCTGTCTCTGTCACAGAGACAGTCTATTTCTGGCAAGTGCTTGCACCCAGGAAAAAGAAAAAGAAAACTAACTTGCCTAAGATCTGTCTCAGGATCGTCGTTTGTAAACCGCATCTACCTTAGAGGTGGAGGATTCGATTATATGGTGTGAACCTAAGAGCATTTTTTCTCATCTTCCTCAAATTATCGATCTATCCAGGTATGGACCACCATATTTAGTCAATAACTATCAAGTGAATGGAACACAAAGAACTTTCCCATTATATTTTACATTTGATCATAAAACAAATTATTCATTTTATATATGCACAATTATGTAAGGCTTTTAAAATCGGCCGGTAACTAGCAAGTGGTGTTTGCGATTCTGTTAGTGAGATTACTTTTAACATTCGGGGACGATTATTTATTCTCATTGCCAATCTATGAGAAATGCTAAGGGTGTAGAATTGCATTCCTTTCTTCTTGGCTCTCAAATTGTACATCTTAGTAAACACAATTTGTAACGGCCCGATGTGGTATCCTGGCCTGCCGAGCATTCCGCCGCCTAGGTGACATCACGCCACAGGAAGAAACCCTCAGGCGCTGAAATCCCACTTTGCCAGGTGGCTAACCCACCAGCCACGGCTCCTCCTCTTCCTGGCTTTCAAGGCTGTGGTCTGAACTCTCTGAGAAGTGTTCAGCGAAAGGTCAGTCCTCACCGGCAGGGCGGGTCTACACGCCTTCTACTCCCCCGCGCTCTCCGCTCTAACCCGGCAGGGGGCGGCAGCGGCGACCGCCCGGGCATGGGCGCTTCTCTTTTCCACTTTGACTTCTGCGTGGGGAGGAGCCGGCAGCTGCGGGACTCCAGGACCTCCGCAGACCAGGAGCAGCTCGGCCTCATGACGCCTTTCCGTCCGGCTTGCACTCTCCCAGCTGCTCAGTGCTGTGAAAATTCCCTAAGGGTTAACCGGCCCCGGGCACTCGCACCCCGGCACACCCACCGCACCGCACAGCCAGTGAACCCTGGCCTGGCTCCGCTAGCCGGGATCCACGCGGAATCGGTCCATTCCCGGCGACCAATCAGCGCTGCCCATGCCGCCGCGCCAACCAATCCCAGCGGACACACGTTGCTTGGCTAACTTCTCCAGCCAGTCCTAGCTCCCGAGACGCAGTGCGAGGAGGAGTGGGTGGGGCTGAGGAGGTGGGCCCGCCTGCTCGAGAACTGCGTGCCTCCCGATTGGCTGAGGCGGCAGTGACTCGGCGCCCATTGGCTGCTGCAGCTCGCGCCTCTGCGCCGGCGGGGCGGAGCT